TAAACTGTTCCTTGTATCCTTAAACATCCTTGCTTGCTTCATTGCCCCATCTCCTTCCTGATTCAGATTCCCTTTAATACTTGATTTTCTCCCTTTTGATACCCTTTGCCAGTCTCCTAAATATTTGTAGGTTCCAGAGTTGAAAGTGTAAACTTTGTCCTCTATACTTTCTTCCTTGTTTATCCTAATCCTTGTCTTTAACTTCCGTTACAGTTACAATGTTATTTTACAGGTCTCTACTGAGCATCTGGCTAATAATTTCAATTAACTACAGGACAACTCTAACAGGAGATTCCACAGGCAATTTAAAAATCTACATGACCCAAATTATAATTTCATGTATTTCTCCACCCTCATTGCCCAAAATGTCTTCTGTATTTCTATATACTGGTAAATAGTATCATATTAGACCTAATTGTTCAAATGATATGCCTCTACTTTTGAAGCTTCCTTTTAATGCCACTTTAGAAAATATCACTAAGCTGTATTTACTCTCAAGTCTATTCTGTTCTTCCAGTATTCACCACTTACTGCATTAAGGCAGACCTTCTTCCTCATCTTCCTGTACCACTGCTTGATAACTAGTTTCTTCTACCTTCACACTTTGCCTTCTAAAACAGCTCAGATTATTCACCTATAAGCATCCATTGATTCTCCATTGTCTATACACAAAGAATCTTAGGAGTGTGTGAAAGGGGGCGGGTCAGAATTTTGGGTGAGTCATCATGGGTATTCTGTGGAAATGTAGTCAATATCCATATTGGTTTCATGATTTAAACAAAATGGTACAGAATGTGAAGCTGCATGAAATATTGGATGATGAAGTTAGAATATGAGTAAAGAAACATTGGAGGGGGCCTGTGGGCAAAGTCCCAACTTCCTACTTGGCATATCTTGTTATTAACAATCCTACACTGACACCTTCAACTTCTGTCATTGCAGCCCTCAACCTGTGTTCTATTGGCATTTCATTCCTGAAATTTGTCATTTCACATCCTTGATGTAGTAGCTTCTTATTGCTGCTGTGACAAATTACTACAAACTTTGTGGCTTAAAACGGCACCAAATTTTAGTCTTACGGTTGTGGTGGTTGGAAGTCCATAATGCGTAGGATAGAGTCAAGGTGTTGGCATGCCTGCATTTCTTCTGGAGGGTTTAGGGGAGAATATGTTTTCTTGCGTTTTCCAGCTTCTAGAGGCCACAGATATTCCTTGGCACACGTCCCATTCCTCTACATTCAAAGTGCATCACTCCAATATCTGACCTTGGCTTTCATCCTTATATTTCCTCTTTCTGATTCTGACTCTGCTGCTGTGCTTTTATAAGGATGCTTATGATTGCACAGGGCTCACCCAAACCATAATCTCCTGTTTCAAAATCCTTAACTTAAACCCTATCTGCAAAGTCCCTTTGCTGTGTGAGGTAACATATTCACAGCATCCAGGAATTCAGACATGGGCATGTTTGGGGGTGGGCATTATTCTGCCTATCAGATTGAGATCCTCCCTCCTCCTCTGCCCTGGACACAGAATTCTCTTTCCCTTAGAAAGCCTCTCCTTTATGACCTAGCTGAAACATTTCTTCTGAAAGCCCTTCCCTATGACATCACCAGACCCAACCTGGAACAAAATTAATAGATTCCACTCTCTACTCCCTCAGCACATTATACTCACCGTATGGCAACAGGGCCAGTCTAATTAAGTAGGTGAGCATTTGTTTCGTTTATTGGTCTGTGAGCCTTCTTTATTAGAGTGCATTACATTGTCTCTGTATCCCCACTGCACCATAGCCCAGCATCTTGTAACTAGTAGATGCTTAATAAGTGTTTATCAAATGATGAGTTTGAATGCCAAAATTCAACTGCATGTAATACCAGCCACATTCAGTCTTTCATTTATTGATTTTTTCAGCTAACATTTATTGAATACTGCATATCAAAAAGATGAATAAAACACATGTTTACCCTGGAGGGACTTCAAGTGTGGTAGAATAGAAAGACATATAATTAAAGAGATAAGCTAAGCTAATAGTGTGGGGTAGGATGTAAAGTAAGCTGGTATATACGGAAAGTTTCACAGGTGAGAGAATGTGAGTTGAGTCTACAATAGTGTTAATAATATCAACTGCAATATCAGCTTTCATTTATTTAGTTTGTTCTTGGTGTCAGTGCTGTTCTAGGCACTATGCTATCTGTACTGTAAGACCGTAATACCTATTTTGCCAACGAAGAAACTAGTCATAGAGAAGTTATGTGCCCCAAATCACACAACTCAAAGGTGGTAAAACTGGGTTAAGAACCCAGACAGACTGATTGCTTATAAGCGCTGTGATATGCATAAGATTTAATAATGGTTTACGTGAAGCCAACTGGCGAATGGTATTCTTAAGAGGAAACAGGCAAATAATTTCAGGTCCATCCACTCAGAAATTAAAGCTTTTTGAAATTAGGTCATTGATAATGTGAGCTACTATGTGACAATAAGAAAACACAGGAGAACCTCAGTAAATGTTTATACGGAGGGTGCCAAAAGTATGCACATTTTAAGAAAGGAAAAACTATTAAAATTGTAATATTCAATATATAACGATAACGAAAGATGAATACAAGTCAAGTTTGACTTCTGCAATTACAAGAGGTGCTCAAAGTGGTTACCATCAGCGTCCAGACACTTCTGATTACAGCGAACTACTGCTTGAACAACATTGACCCAAGTGTCCACTTGTATACATATTTTTGGCACCCCCAGTATATAGTTTGCATTGTGGTTTCTGAGTAGAATTTTAATTATGCAATAAGTACAGCAAAGCTTGAATGTCTATGACTACACTTATTTAATCTTTTAACATAAAACACCATAAATTACCTCAAAGAGGTTTGTAAACATTACTGTAGATTGACCAAGACCTTAAACCTGTGAAATGCTATATAATTCTTTTTTTGTTTTCCCTGATACCCAAGGTTTCAAGAGATTCTATTAAGGATCTTGCTGCTACCAAATTGATGCTTTCCAAATCAATTTAATTTTAAGAAAGAGAATTGCAAACTAGCTTGTGTATGCATTATAGAAATGAAATGAGTAAGGGAATTGTATTTTGGACAAGAGGAAAGTACTAAGGTATTAAGCTGGAAGGCCTTGCAGTGTATAGTTGGATACTGGAGATTCTTGGGCAGCGCTGATTAAAGTCACACTGAGAGATCTGATTCTCACTGCTTACCTGAAGGCTGAAGATACCAGCTTGAAGATTTCCTGCAGCTCCAGTTAGTGTGTTGGCTGGGAAATGAGATTCGGGTTTTAAGAATGCATGAGTCAGGCTTGTACTTTTTTTAATTTAATTTTTTAATTAAATTTATTGGGTTGACATTGGATCGTAAAATGATACAGGTTTCAAGCGTACAATTCTATAATATATCATCTATCTATCACATTGTGTGTTCATCACCCAGGGTCAGTTCTCTTTCCATCACCATATATCAGGCTTGCACTTTAATGTGGCAGCTCGTCAGATGTGGCTGATGAGTCCGCTTTTTGGACTAGGTGTCATTTATGTCTTGATGTGGACTCAGAACCCTTGGTTAGAAAACTGAAACAGGCTATCATCCTTTAAAGGAGCTGGAATTAAAATAACTTATTCTCAATGCTTATTTTAAGAATTCACTGACTTGCTGACTAAAATGATGATGGTGACACTTTGCTGCAAATGAATGGAATTGGATTTTTTTGTGAATTAAAATGTGTTTTAACAGACTTTTATTAATATGAATGAATTAGTCATTTAAAAATATTCAGAAGTATCTGAGGCTCTAGGAGAGAAAAAAAAATCTGCCTCACAAATCACCACTTCAGCTTTCTCATCTTTAATGAAGTCATAGTGATGGAAAGCTGAGTGTGATTAGTCCTCAACTGTCTCGTAAAGAAACTTGTGCTGTCATGTCCAACGTTTGAACTGTGTTCTGACTTGCTACTTTTTTGAAATTCAGTTTTCAGCTTTACTATCTCAGTCTTATAGCAAAAATAAAAGAGGGGTGATTTTCTGAGGAAGACAGTGCTCATTTCAGTTTATTTCAGATGAGCTGTTTCCCCCCTTTGAAATCCAAACACTAGGCTAGTGTCCCATCTGGTACCCTTCTGAGAGCCTTGTAATCGGAAGAAATGATGTATCTTCCTGTAGCTTTCATAGACAGTCTGTTTTCTTTTAATAGAACCATAGTCTTAAATTCTCTTGAAGTATCTTTTAGAGTTTTTTGAAAGAGAATTGTGAAATTATCATTAAATCTTTAGAGGCATAGATTTTGTAATTTCTTCTCAATGGGAAAGAGTGATACTGGATAAAACCATATTCTGCTGCAGTATGGAACATTAAAAATGTTAATGTTTGGCAATTTATATTAAAAATAAATTGTTAGTGAAATAGGATTTTTGAAGGGATTGTTTCCACTTACTTAAATACAGTTAGATTCTTTAGGCTGCTGCTGCCCAGACCAAGACGGCTGGGACTATAATTCTGCTCCACCACAGTCCCCTACACCAAGTACGCCGCCATGATTAACTAGGTCACACCCTACTACTACTCAGTGCCCATCTGGGGTTATGGGAACATGCCCAACGTGCCCAGCCACCCCCAGGACTCCCAGGGCCAGCTGAAGAAACTGAGCAGCTCCACTGACAGGGAGGAGGCCCCTTCCCAGTGGCCCCCAATAAAAGTGTGAAAACCAAAAAAAAAATACAATTAGACCCTCTCAGTAGAGAGACATTTTAAACTTTAAGTGACCATAAGATTTTAAAACATTTTAGGGGGGCCTATAGGGACGTAATTTTGACATTACTGGTTTTGATTTAACTTAGGAACCACAACATATGGGAATATAGAATACACAGATCCTGTTCACATTCTTCCCTTTTGTGGAATTCATTGCCCTAATCGTGCCTGATCAGAAGTCTAACAAAAATCTTATAATATTGATGTATATTTTTTAAAGTGTATATTTTCTTTTTAATCTTTGTTTTAGGGAACAGCCTATAAGAGCTGGAAGATGAAAGCTCCGATTCCGCACTTGATTCTTCTATATGCAACTTTTACTCAGAGTTTGAAGGTTGTGACCAAAAGAGGCTCTGGTAAGCACTGTTCCTTCCTTTCATTTTTATGGCTTGAAGTGATGGTGCTACATTTACACATGTGCCAGTTGTGGAGAGGTTGAGAATTAATGGGAATCCATGTTGTAGAAACATTGTAGCTATATCTTGAAGTGAGTGGAGCATACTCATAGGGAACTAGAAAGGTGGGAATAAGTTGGGAAAAAAGGTGACTTATTTTGTTAAGTACTATGAACTAGAATGGATTCAATACCAAACCTTGCAGTCTGATTTCATTTTAGTACATGATTTTCAACATTCTTTTATAAAGCGTGTCATTTTAATTTTTGCATGGAAATATTGTGAATTTTTTTCATGTTAACTTTTACTGTTACCAGGTCAGTGTCAGCTGTGTTTAGGGCAGACTCTTTTTAGGGTTGTACTTCAGCTGATCTGCTCAGGTATTTTGCAGGTGTTTAAAGAAAGCACTAGAGTTCTTAGAGAAAATGTCTTGGAGGAACATCCTAATATGTTAGTAGGAAATATAGAGGTAAAGTCGAATGGTAATATCAAAGGAGCTGCTAAATAGAATCATGTTGAAACGTATGGAAAACTTTACATGTTGTCAGACATCTTGGTTTTCAGTTTGACTGTTGATATAGGGAGTTAGTGAAATGTACAAGACAACTGAATAAATATTGTCGATGTGAAGTTGTTTCTTGTCTAGCAAGTCACTGATAATACTAAGACTTGCCACACTCACATTTTATGTGGGGCTCCAGAATTTTTGTAGCCAGAGCTTTTAGATGTACTGTCAGAAGAAATGTACTGTGTTTAGTTGATAGAACTAGAATGTGTGATTAGTTCTAGATAGACAGTGGGGGAAAAGAAAAGATAATGTGCAAGAGACTGTAGAGTGTTGTGATATCAAGAATTGCACGAACAAAAGTATCTTTGGAATTTAGAAAGGAGAGGGAATGAGATGGCTGAGATAGGGCTGCAGCAACTCCAATGAGTCACATTGATTGTCTAATGAAAGAGGCCACGTGCAAGGGAAGTAGAGAGCAAGTCTGCTCTCATGCACCCCACCTTGGGCTTCAGTCTGGGGAGGGATTGAGGAGTACTTTGTGCATGGACATGGGGATGGTGCAAGGAATTTTACTGAGCCTATTGGCTTTAGAACTTTTTGGTTATTGTATAGCTGTTGTACCTGCCATTGATATGGTTGTAGGCAATGTGAAAAAATAGTGTTTCTATGTTTATACTTTATTTGATCGTTTCCTCTTGGTGGATCTTTTTGAATGAGAGAAAACTCACAGGCAGGATTATGAGATAGTGTTTTTTTGTAATTTGAATGGATTACTGGCAAATTTCGGATATCTTGATTTCTTTGTCTGCCACTTGCAAAGAAATTTGAGCATACCCATGGGAGTTGGAGTAGGTGGAAGGGGGCGGAAGTCGTGATGCAAGCTGATAATTTCTAGAACAGTGATATTTTCTAGAATAGCAATTTACGTTAAAAGCACTTAACATGGATCTTTGATATACTGGCTACATAGAAGAGAAACACTCATCTGTACAAATGTAACAAAATGAAACTATCCAAAATAGAAATATTGATTGAATCTTAAAAACTTCATTTTTCTGGTTATTATACTTGATTATATAAAGTTTTTTTTTCAGTTTTGTGTGTATATCAGATCTATGATTTATCAAAATGCAAGTGTGACTTTTCCATCATCAAATAGTGGTGACAGGTTCATTCTCTATAAGCTCTAATTTTGGGGAAAAAACTTTTATTAAATTGGGACTTAACTTTGTGTTTTTGAGAAATGTGGGACAGCCGGAAAATTCATATCTCCTCCTGCTCCAGAGACCTGAGAAAACTCAATGACCTGTCTCAAATTCAAGTTTTATTTTAATGATATAATTGTTTTAGAAAGGTGGTGATAAAATGCTGCTCTAAGTTTGGCAGAAGTTCTGAGGCCTCGTTCTCTTCTATTTACGAATATAGTTGTCATATAGCTACTGTATACCTCTCAAGCCCCGCGTGTTTTCTATATAACAATGTAAAAATGACAACTAAAGCAGGTACTAAGATTTAGCAACATGTTTGATTTGTCTACTTTTTTGTGTACTGTGAAGTACGGTAGCTTCCCTTGGTATCTGTTAAGACCCAGCGGAATGGAAGTTTGTTTGTTTGATTTTTGAATATTAAGTGTGCAATTTGGAAATAAATAATAGTACTTTACCCATATATTTTGATAGCTTGCACTCATTTCAGCTGATATCTGTTACCATGGCCCCTTTGTTTAGAGAAGCAGATATGTAGCTTACTGAAGAGCATGATGACCGATCTCCATAGAGCCAATAGAAGAGGAGTACACTCGGCATCTTTTCCTCAAAAGATTAATGGCTCCGTCTTCACTCCCAGCCGAACCTCTAAAACCAGTGGCATCAAGGCCAGGGAACAAAAACATCATTTTTTAATGTTCAATCTCACATATTAACCAAGAGGGCTACTTATCCTTGTTCTTATCATTGAATTCTTTTTATTTTCAGTTTTATAAATTTTTTTGGAAATTCAACAAACATGATTCAAAGCCCAATGTGAAAGTTTCCTATGTCTTTTACTAGAATATTCTTTTTAGATCGATGATGTAGATCACTGCGACCACTAGAAAAGCAGAACTAGATATTTTAATAACCAAGTTCATATTAAATATTATAATACACAGAGTAATGGTGAATTTTTTTATGGCATATCAATTGTGTATAGCGTTTACTTTAGATAAACACATGGTCATTCCATAAACATTTAGAAGTAGGTATTTGTTTCTCATTAACAGAACTAGCTTGAAAGCAACAGGAGCTCTTTATATACAAACTGGAGATGTATTATTTTTATCACATTGGCTTATAACCCCATTGCTGTTAATTTAAGGAACAAATGAAATATAAGGCAGTTATATTATCATAATATCTTTGATTGAAATGTTAAAAACAAACTTTACAATGCTTTGTTTTAAATATCTCACTGGGTATGTATATGATTATAACAATGAAGGACTGTATCCGTGAATCTGGCCTCTCAGGTAATGTTTGAAAGTTTTGCGTACATTTGGCATCAAGGCCTTTAATCTGTGGAAGCAGATATTCAGCCGTTGTTACACAATAGGTTTTCTGTTGGAACAATTTTATACCTTTTAGTTTTTATAAGCAGCACTAGAAGAAAAAGACAAAGACTATCAGTGTTACCCATTCTCCTCAAGTGTGTGAACCATTGTAGCAATTTATTGAGTAAACAGTTGAGTTGCTGTCATTTGTAGAATTCTGTACAAAAACCATGTGTAAAGCCAATCCTTGCTTGGAGAGGCTTTGTAACTTAACCAGTGTAGAAAGGTTAGGTTAATGTGCTTGTTGGTTGGTTTGTCTGTGTCTGTCTCTCCTTCCCATCCTTGCCTTCCCCCCCTCCCCTCCCTCAGTCCCCCTCTTTTTCCCTTCCTTCCTTCCTTCCTTCCTTCCTTCCTTCCTTCCTTCCTTCCTTCCTTCCTTCCTTCNCCTCTTTTTCCCTTCCTTCCTTCCTTCCTTCCTTCCTTCCTTCCTTCCTTCCTTCCTTCCTTCCTTCCTTCCTTCCTTCTTCCCTTCCTTCCCCCACTTTGTCTCTCTTCCTCTTCTTCCTCTCTTCCATTCCGCCTTCCTTCCATTTTCTTTATTAGTGTATTTGCATGCAAATTAAAGAATCCATTTTAAATATTTCCACGTGTCTTTGTAGAGCTTTTAAAAAATATTATCATTATTTTGTTTGAACGGTTCAAGTCTATGAAATGCTTGGTCTTTCCAAGATCTTTCCAAGAGGATAGTATGGTCTCTGTTAATAATGGCTGTTCTTAAAATAGTTCTTTCTTTTTATATTGTGTAACTAAGAATTTGGGATAGGATATAGGGGCAGGGAAATATTGTACTGTTGAGGGACTATTGTGCACAAAGTGTAAGTATAGCACTTTTGGAGAACTAAAATGTAAGTTGTGATTTGGCCCAAGAGTTTGGGATCTTGAAGAGACATGAAGCTAGAGGGACCTGGATATAGAGATGAGGGAAGAGAAACGGATCCAGAATTTTTGTCTCTTTTTCTTTGCTCTCATATCCATCCCTATACTATAAGATGGTAAATGCAAGGACAATGATTTATAAATATATGCGTATAGCCAATACAGTTCCAAATATGGTGTATATTCAGAGTCAGGATTCAGTAAAACTCCTTAATGAAATAATGATTACCTGAACGAATTTAAAAGTGGCTGTAATGTTCAGGCTGGGTTGCATCGGTGAGGATACCACATGACCAACACAGTATTAGAAAAATAAAGGTAAAATAAAATAGAGATTTTAAGAAAACTTGTTTTTTTTTCATAAATAGAAATTAGTGTAGTATAGAATATATGAGACTGCTGAAGCAAAAGAGATAAACTCAGAATAGGCACTATCTAAGGCGCGCTCAGGGTTTATCTGAAGACACAGAACCTTTGCAAATCATGAGCTTGAAATGCATGTCAAGATCTGTTAGAAAAGGAAAATGATTCTTTAAATATGACTATAGTTCAATTTTACTACATTTACTGCTGCTTTAAAGAAGGACTGATTATACAGATGTTTTGGTTTTAATCATATTGTTCAATACAGATCACCATGAAAAGGGTGTAATTCATGATTACTGATACATGATAGATAAGCAAGTGACTTTAGTATGGAAGAAAAGCATTCACAATTTTTAGAGCATATGGAGAAGAATAAGATGCTATATTACGGTAATCAAAGAATACATCCTATTCTAGAAGGTATTTAAGATATATAAAAGCTACCTGAAGTGGCCAGCTATTTGAGAGTAAAAGGGTTACCACAGGGGGTTGATATTCTCTTCACTCTAGAATCTGCCAGTGGATACCTGTTTGTTTAAAATGATTTAGATGCAGTTCTTCCTGTCAGCAAAAGGAAGGCAAGTCCGTCAAGAGGTTTTTCCCAACTCGTAACTCAAAGCCCAG